AAGAGACTTTCCTATATAAAGTCCCTCCTACATGATCCCCTGGAATTCTTCATTCTTGGCACAGCAGCCTTGGGGGCACTGGGTGAAGGAGAGGGACCTGGAAATACCCCCGTCAAGCGCCTGGCTGTCAGAAAGATACATCAGAGGGAGTTCAGAGATGCATAATAAAGATGATGAAATGTTTAGATTCTGAGCGGCTGACTTACAAGAAAAGGTTAAAAGAATGAAATACGTGTATAATTTAGTGAACTGAGGAAAGAGGGACATGTTATTGCCTGGAAATATACAGAAGCATTAGCGCTAAGTCTAGCTGAGAACACGAGACGAAAGCCTGATGGGACAGGGAGAGCGTATCCAATTCCCTTCCCTGGTGGTACCCAGTTTGGGATGCGCACCACAACCCAGGATAAGGAGTGAAATAACTTGTTTCTCTCTCTCTTGAGGCCATTTGGCACTGCATCACCTTGGGGAGACAGAGTGGGGTCTCCCTCCTGGAAACACGGTGCCAAGGAGGAGAGAAGTCACTACCGGAGCATCCGGCAAAACCAGCTTTGAGCTGCTGCTTTCTTGGTGTCCTCCCTGCCCTCAGGAGCTTCTTACGAGGGAAAGTCTCTCTAAGAAGGACACCTAGTCCTCATGGAGGCCCTTGGCCAAACTGATGGCCCACGCAGGAACTCCATAACCCCATAGATCAGTGTCAACAGGAGTGTGTTCAGAGCAGCTAATTCCAGATGCCACAGCCGGTGAAGTGAGAGATTGAGAATGAACGAAGAATGAATATGAAGCTGCTAGCAAGCAAGGATTAAAAACAACCGTTGTCTACCCTACCCTCATTTGGGGACTTGTAGCTAGGATCTGCCATGCAAGAGCCTAGCTGAGTAGCCAGCACTGGGACAAGTCAGGCAGCAAATGTGATGCCCTAGGAAAAAAAGCGAAGGCGAGATAGAAAGAGATCTAGAGAAGCATCTGGAATGCAAATTAGTGCCCCCAAAGCACTGGCTGTGAATGCCTGGCCTAAACCCAAACCAAGCCTGAGCATATCCTGGCTGACAGCTCCATGTCCTTGCAGCATCAGGAAAAAAGTTTCAACCTTTTGGCCCCTGAATTCCCTAACAGAACAATACTGAACACGAGCAGGCATTCTTCAAATGGTTTGCAATTGGAAAGGAAGCTTCCTTATCTGCCCACAACCTGCAGTGTTTCACCACCCCTGTCTACGCATGGAAAGCTGAAGGTCAAAACAGGCAAACAGCGTGCCCATGACTGCCTTACAAATCAGAGCTGTGAAGGGGAGTCAGATCTTATAGCCCTACCTGCCATCCCTGCTAAGTTACGAAGCCTCCCTGCGGCTGGGAAAGAACCACAGCACCTCCCTCTCCCAGAAAGGCTATCACTGGGAACGTGCTTCTGGGAGGCATGGCGGAGACTCCAAGACTTCAAACTAAACAGGGATGAAGCCTCTGCCCCATCTGAACTGGGTCCACAGTGTTGTAGGTGTTAAAGATTGTGCAGGTCTTCCACTTTATTCCCTTCTACCACGTGTCAGTCTGCCACAGGCTGCCAGGCAAGTTTAAGGGCAGGCAGCCTGCGATGGAGGAACTTGGAAATGAACCTTCAGATCCGAGCTCCAGGCAGAGCCATAAAACATTGCAGTCCTGGACTACAGGAAGCTCCAAGTCATCTTTCCAATTGCTCAGAGCTTCTTTATCTCCATTTTTCAGTCTGGCCCCGAAAGCCAACTGTTTGATGGAACAAGTGCTGCAGGGCTTTGGGAAAGTTTTGGGTTCAGCCCACTGCCCTAAAATCAAATGTTCCAGGATCCCACTTATAGTCATGCAAATCCATAGATTAAGTCTCAGGCTAAAAAGAGAGGTGGAACCTATGCGGATACTGACACCTGTAGCTCTTGACCTCTGCTGAATTCACACCTGCCTACCCACCCCCCCCTCCATGCAATCTAGCAATACCTGTCTCATGCCTTATTCACTCCCCGTGTAGCTTTTAGCATGTCATTCAAGTTCAGACCAGCCCAGCCCTCTGATGCTCGTAAGGTGCCTGTTCTAGAGCACAGACTATACATCCAAATCCCACTTTGCAGGAGGCGGCCAGCGCATGATCCCCGCGTGTGTGGGGTGCAAGGAGCCCGTTCACAGCTGTGAACTGACTTGCCATGTGATCCTTAGCGAACTGCTTTTACCTGCTTTTATCTGGCTGACGTGATATGATGATGATGATAGTGAGGAAGGAGAATAACACTCACTCACTTAGAGGGGAGCTCAGAAACACAGCAGATGTTTTACGAGACCTGAGCAAGAAGACACCAGGGAACAGAAGTGCCTGAGCTCCTCTGCCTTTCCAGTGGTCACAAACTGAAGAAGAATGAAAGCGGGACCTGCTCTCCAACCCCCATGTGTCCATCAGTGGAGACGTGCAAGGCCCATCTGAGATGTTCTCCAGCGCCAGCTGTTGCAGCCACCCCTTTTTCCTGCTTTTATACTACGATCTAGTTTTCCATATCAGAGTCCAAATCCAGCTGGCCAGTTTTGTTCCCTATTTCTGTCGTCGTCGCTCCTTCCCCGTCTGCCCCATCAGATGTGTCCAGTGTTTCCTAAGGGCACCCGCTGGTAAGGCACACGCAAAGACAGGCCATCTATCTGCTGCTAAGCCTCTCCAGCTGACCAGAGGCAGATGAACACAAGGAAAATCCCAGGACACCAGCAATCCTGTTGTTACCTCTCCCCAGACAAGGCAATCTTTGCATTTGCCTTGTAGTCTGTATTATTCCTTCTTCTCAATCAAAAGGGAGAATAAAGGCCAGTGACGAGTGATGAGGAATCAATTACAGGGAGAGGGAGCTGTACCTTCTGCTGGCTGCCTTTAAGACCAGAGCTGGCATTTCAAAAGAGTGGCACTCACACAAAAGAGCACCAGCTGGGCTGCGAGATAGAGTAGCCCAAGGGATGCCTTTAAATGTTACCTTCTCACAACAAGAAAAGGTCTTCTCTCGGTTTCCACAGGATGGGGACTTCACCGTCGCATCGAGTAGCGGCATAGATCCAGAAGAGCCGGCGTGGGCAGCACCGGGAGGGAGGCAAGGGCTGTAAGGCCAGGGCCATGAGCACTGTCCATGCGGGATGGCAGAGAAGGCAGAGGTTTCCTCAAGAGCTCTCTGGGGGGAGGTTAATGCAGGGTGATGGGGTGGGGAAAGGCGGAGGCACAGCTCAGTTTATGATGGGATGGAAGGTGGGCAGCCCGAGGGGCCAGGAAGCAAAGGGAGAGACGGGATGCTGTGCCAAGTGCAGCAGAGCTCGGTGGGATGGGTAGGGAAGGCTGTCGGGATCCACAGCCAGGAGCTGGGCTGGTCGCAGGCTGCGACTCCCTGCTGCGCTGGTGCAGGATCCCCGCTTCAGCACGGGGCGACCTCGGGAGATCAGCTTTTCCATGAGAAATCCTGGCTGCAGCCCCAGTTTAGGTTTGGCACCCAGCTGGGACTCCAGGGCTGAAA